ACGACTGCAGAGAAGCACCAGAAGCCAGGAAGGGGCAAGGCGGGCTTCCTCTGTAGGTTTCAGAGGGAGCATGGCTTGCCCGACAGCTTCGTTTGGGACTTCTGGCCTCCAGAACTGTGAGATACATTTCCATTGTTTTAAGCCCCCCCAGCTCGTGGTACTTTGCTATGAGAGCCCCAGGAACCTCCTGCAGGTGGAACAGATATGCATGAAAATGCCTTCTGGAACGTGGTCTTCAGGGGCGAGTGAATGAGCGAACCTGACACAGTCACACGGAGATGCAGCCACACGGGCTGTTCCTCAGCGTCACCCACAACCTCCTAAAGCAGGGCTGATCATCCTCACTTCACACATGAAGGAACCGGGGCTCCCCGAAGTGACTTCCGGCCTCACGACAGTGGGGGATCCTGATCTCGCTGACCGCCTCTCCCGCAGAGAACACCATGCTCTGCCCTTGGGCGTGGGAAGAAATCATTACACAGGCCTCCTATCTCTCCCAGGAGCCGGACGAGTAGGTATTGCGACCATCCCCATTTTAGAGATGAGGCAATGGAGGCCCAGAAAGGTGAGAAAATTTGCCTAAGGCTCCACAGCTGGGAGGAGGAATCAGACATTGAATAGGGTCTTGGCCTCCAGGGGAGAAAGGTCTGATCCCAAGGACAGGGACGCCTGTCCAGTGTGGGGAGCTAGGGTGAAGGAAATGTGGCTGGGGGTGTGTTGGGAAGCCAAGGTGGGGAGGGGGTTAAGGAGTGCTGAACAAAGGCCCCCAGGTGGGGAGACTGCAGGGTAGGTTCTAAAAACAAGGGGAGCCAGTATGTCTGGTGGGCAGAGACCAAGGTAGGATTTGTGTGAACTGAAGCTTAAGTAGTTCTAGGGGCTCTCTTTCCAGAAAAATAATCTTCTAAATCCTTTTGCATATTTTACAAAACCATTGAACACACTGATAGGCCATTCCAGAGCCTTGGGAGGAGCTCTTGCAAAGGGGAGGGCCCTGAAGCTTGGCCTTCATTCAGTCCAGGTGACAGCCTCTGGGCAGGCTGCATCTGGTGTGGGGGGCGGGGTGGACGTGGCCGAGGGCCTGGAGTCTGTGTTGCTGCCCTCACCACCCAGTCAGATGTTGCTGACCGCCCACTTGGAGCAGGGATTTGGGCTGGTGCCACCTCCGGGCCCGACCCCAGGGTGCTCATGGGGGAGGCAGTGGGACCCCCCCCCACCCCCACATGCTGCCCACATGAAGAAGAGAGGGCAGGGTGCCTCACAGACCAGGAAGACGACTGCCAGGAGACCTCGGGGCAGCCACCTTGCCATGTAGAGGCCCACTCCCCACGGGGAGCTGGTTCTCAGTTGGGTTCCGTCCCCTGACCCTGCTTTGGTCATCTCAAGGGTGCCTGGGGTCGGGATCACAGGCTCCAAGGCCTCAGACACCCGGCAGGCCTGCCCCAGCCCCCAGGTCTCCCCCTCTATCTGCTGGTCCCTGTGCAGATTACAAGGGGTGGTTTGTCAGGGTCAGCCGGTGGGGGGGGTGGGGGACGACACACAGTGAAGGGTGCGGGCGGTGTCCTCTCCGTTGCCATGCTGGGTGGCCACAGAGAGAGCACAGAGGCCCTTCTGTGAGAGGGACGGCCCGTGGCTGACTGAATCGGTGTGTACGTGTATGGCTGGGGGAACACATTCTGCACTTAGGCCCATGAAGCACCTGGAGAACTGGTGGTGGAGACTGGGTGGTGGTCCGAGAAGGGGGCCCCCAGTCAGCTGGAGCCTGCCCACGGACAGGACAGGTAGCTCCCCTGGCTTCCAGGGCAGGGAATGGGACGGGGCCTGGGCCCAGGAGGCAAGGGCGCCAACCTGGAGCACAAAGTGGAGCAGGGCTTTGGCGGGAGGGGTGGCACGGTGGGCAGAATAAGGTCCCTCCAAGGTGTCTGCGTCCTGATCCCCAGAGCCTGTGAATGTTAGGGTGTGTGGCAAAGAGGAATGGAAGGTGCCAGTCGGCCGGCTTTAGCAGGGAGACGGCCCCCGATTATGCACACTGGCTCAAGGTACTCACAAAGGCCTCCGGCCTGAAAGAGGGGAGCAGGAGAGAGAGATCTGGGAGGACATCCCTCACCTGCACTGGCTGGAGGCAAAGATGGAGAAAGGGCCACCAGCCAAGGAGTGCAGGCGGCCTCTAGAAACTGCAGAGGGAAGGGAGCCTCCAGAAGGAATGAGGCCCTGCCAACACCTCGACCTTTGCGCGGTGAGACTCGTTGCAGACTTCTGACCTACAGAACTGTGAGGCAATGAATGTGGATGGTGTTAAGCCATTAAGTCTGGGCCCATCTTTTAGGGCTGATGGAGCCTGGGGAAGAGGAAGGGGCTCTAGGTCGGCCAGGCTCCAGGCTGTTGGCACGCCCTTACCCACCAGAGTGGGGGTGTCCGTGCCATCGGCAGGCTCTGGCCTCTCAGGGGGTCCCTTCATCCCTGCCAGCTGCCAGACACAGGACTTTCAGATGATGGTGAAAGTAGCTAAGACCTACCAAGTGCCTAGTCACCGCCAGACCCTCAAGCACCCCAACAACCCTACCAGATGGGTACTATTATCAGTCCAATCTTAAAGGTCAAGAAGTGGAGGCTCATGTAAGTGCCCCCAGTCGTGGCATCATGCTGACCTTGCCAGATGGAAGACCCCACAGAAGGCATGACTAGGGGAGAGGCCCTGGTCCCAGTCCTCACTGCCACAGAGACACATGGCTTGCTCCTTCTAGCTCCCAAATCGTTCACAGTGTGAACTCCAAACCCCGAATGGTGTGCTTACCCTACAGGGCCGAAGCCCATGGCTACCCACAACACAATCTGTGGCAAACAAACTGCCTCCCGGCCAGGCCCGGGGCATGAGGAGCCATCAGCGTGGGTGAGAATCACCCAAACCTCCTGGGTTCTCTGGCCTCTTGGCTGAGGTGCTGGAGTCCAGACTGTGCCCGGGGCCCTCTCCCCTAGGTGTGAGGAGGAACGGGGAAGCAGGGGGTCTAACAGGCCATGGCGGTATGGTGTAGGCTCCAGCCTACATGGGACAGGGACAGAGGCTCTAGCCTGCCCCTTGTCGGCTCGTTCCCCTGCCTCCCTGCAGACCTCCCTGCTTGGTTCCCACCATGAACCCCCAAACCCCTCCTGGACCTCCTTACCCTGGGAGTCCCTGACCAACCACCGAGATCGGAAAACGTCACCCTGGGCCCTCCATCAAAATCCGTCAGCAGCGTACCTTGACGGGTACTTGATACAAAGCAAACAGGCAGCCTGTAATCCACTCCTGGGGTATAATTAACACACTCTTGTTATTTCACAACGTAAACCACCCAAAGTTTGTTGAAAATTTATTATTAAGAAGTCACATGATACAAAAGAATGAGTATATTCAAAGGTCACTTGGTAAAATACTGCTTTGTCCAAAGGGCGGGCAGAAAAGGCCATGGCACACAAGCGATGCTCAGAGAACAGCGGAGAGACTGAAGAGTAAGAACAAGTGATGTGTGTCCACGCCAGCCCCTCCCCCCAACCCGTCAGCCCAGCAGGTAAACATTCACCTGGGTCAAAACAGTGAGTGGGAGGACAGAACCGGACGACTGGGTGCCAGGCTGGCTGGGCGGCCGCTCCGGTCCGGTGACTCCAGGAGGGGAGACAAGATGGCCCCTGGCCGGAACATTCCAAAAGCCTGGGGACCCCAATTTATTTTAACAAACGACAGAGTCCCTACTGCTGGAGGCAAGCCCAGCTCAGAACACCTGCAGTGCTCCAAAGTCACCAAAAGCAAGAGGAGGGAGCGGGCTCTGACCCTGGAGGCCAGTTTGCATTTCCTCTGCCAAGGTGCTCCATGGGGAAGGGAGGACAAAGCAGAGCCCAGCGCTGAGCCGGTCCGGCCTCTTCCCCGCAGAAAGTCTCAGGAAGCCCCGTGCGGGCCATGGACCCACCACGGAGGCGCAGAGGGAAGAGAGTCAGAGGGAAGGCCGTCCTCTACCTCCTCTAGGCTGGCTCCTCTGGGAGAAGCCATGAGGGTGAAGCAGGGGGAAAGGCTACACCCAGCGCCAGATCCAGCCTCCCTATAACGTCCCTGGAAAGAGGAGACCAGCTGGCATGGGACGTTGCCCGCGCATAAGCCACCCCCAGGTCGGGTGGATGGACGCCACGGCGCCATCTTGAGGGAGAGCCAGCAGCTCCGAGGTTGGTGGGGGCGTCCTCAAGTTACCCCAGAGCTCCCAGGCTTCGTGGAACCGAAGCAGATGAAAAAAGAGCAAAACGAAAACCTGCAGACCAGGGTGGTTTGGGAGCTTCTCCAAGTGTGGAGTGTGGGTCTGGTGGGCACATTGGTCCACAGGACAGCCACCTCCAGGCACAGTGTTGTCCCCAAAGGCTGGCAAAAAGGCACTTTCCTTCCGGTCAGAAAGTGTCCTGACCATGAGGCCTGAGTGAGGGGCACAGAATGCTCCCTGAGCCAGGCCCTGCCTGGCTCCCTCCAGTTCCATCCAGCCAGAGAGGGTATGAGTGGGAGGCTTCACCCTCTCTGTCCCTGCTCTGGTGCAATCCAGGAAGGCCTCCTTCCCACCCCACAGGGCCATGCCCAGACTGGCAGCGCTGGTGGAATGCGGCAGAAGGAAGGCGGGGATGTGGTCACCAAAGTCCGGGGAAAAGACCAAAGACACACACTGGACCTACGGGTCCCAAACCGTATTCATCGGTCCCCTGCTGCCAGCGCTGCCACCAAGAACTTCAGAGCAGCGGACACTGTCCATCTTGAGAGGGGCACAAGGCCAAGTCCCTGGCTGGGAGGGGGCGGCCAGAGCCCCCTCTGACGGTCCTGAGACAGCAGTGGGGCTGAGTCCAGGGAAGGACAGGCAGGCTGCAAGGACCCTGCAGGAGCCCCCGCCAGCCTGTGTGCGGCCCGTGCGCCATCACAGGCAGAAGCCACTTCTTCCCTCTCGAGGTAGCCCTCCTGCCCAAACCCAGAGCCGCAGCCTGGTCCTACCCGTCTGGGAGAAGAATGCTGGGCCAGGACCAGGGGGAGCCTCCCCCTGTGCCCTCAGCCCTGCTCCAGGCTGTCGGTGGGCTGCCCCGCGGTGTAGCTCCCCTGGACCGTGGACAGCTGCCGGCTGAAGAAGGATGTGGTGCGCTTCGGCTTCACCCGCTTGATCTGCTGACCTATCAAGGAAAAAGGAACACACTGAGGGTGGGCTTCCCAAGGTGCCATGGTCCAGGCCCCCAGTGGAGCCAGAGGCTGGCTCCTTCCAGAGCCTGTTCACACAGAGTCCCCCTCGTGGCAGCCACGAACTGTCTGAGCCTCAGTCCCGCACGGAAGCTCTTCGAGCCGTGTGGCCAGCCTCCCGAATCAGAGGCGGATCTGGGTTTGCATGTGATGTCGGGCCAGCTATGCTGTCCCAGGGGCTTTTGCTCAAACCAGTTCAAGAACAGACCAAAGAAATAAAACACCTACAACACGGACGGCTGGCTGAGGGTGAGCCTCAGTAAGACAAAAAGAATCCTTACAAGTCAGACTTTCAAGCCAGGTGACAAGGTCAACACTAATTGTCCTAATGCACCTTTTTTTTTTTTTTTAAAGATTTTATTTATTTATTTGAGAGAGAGAGAATGAGAGATAGAAAGCACGAGAGGGAAGAGAGTCAGAGGGAGAAGCAGACTCCCTGCTGAGCAGGGAGCCCGACGCGGGGACTCGATCCCGGGACTCCAGGATCATGACCTGAGCCGAAGGCAGTCGCTTAACCAACTGAGCCACACAGGCGCCCTGTCCTAGTGCACCTTTATGATGTGATAAAAACGGCACCTTACCTCCGGGACCTTCCTCCCCAGTGCACAGCCCCTGCCTGAGCACAAGGAAAGCATCAGGCAAATTCCAGTAACGTGGCATCCTACAGTAACCCCGAGCAGTCCTCCTCCAAACTGTCAAGGTCATCAAAACCCAGGGAAATCTGAGAAACCTTCGCAGCCCAGCGGTGCCTACAGAGACTTTGACAACTAAATGTAGTGTGGTGTCCTGGGTGGGAGCCTGCCACTGGAAAGGACATTAGGCTAAAACGAAGGACTTTAGTTAATAATACTGTATCCGAGGGCGCCTGGGTGGCTCAGTCGTTAAGCGTCTGCCTTCGGCTCAGGTCATGACCCCAGGGTCCTGGGATCGAGCCCCACATCGGGTTCCCCGCTCCTCGGGAAGCCTGCTTCTCCCTCTCCCGCTCCCCCTGCTTGTGTTCCCTCTCTCGCTGTGTCTCTCTCTGTTAAATAAATAAATAAAATCTTAAAAAAAAAAAAAAATAAATGCAGGTCTTAGTTACTGCATTTAAAAGTTTCTTATTTTCGAATAATTCTAGATTTGTCGAGACGTTGCAGAGATAATAATACAAAGAGTTCCTATATGCCTTCATCCAGCTTCTCATGATGCTGGCTGGCATCCTCCGTTACCATCGTATGTTTGCCAAAACTAAAAAACAAACACTGGTGCCACATGATTAACCAAACCACACACTTCCAGACTTCACCAGTTCTTTCATAAACGTCTGTCTGCTCCAGGGCTCGGTCTGAGACACCACGCTGCATTCAGAGCACTGCCCGTTTACAAGCTGCCCTGATTCCACCGGACGTGGCCCCACTGTTTCTGTGCCCACACCTGAAATAACAGACATCGGCAGTTTCTAGTGTGTCACATCTGGACACGGCCACAGGGAACACATCTGTGGACACGCAATGGCAGGGATAGCAAAGGGCTGTTCCCGCCAGGGCCCCAGAGGCCCCCATTCCCAGTCCCAGAGCTCACGAGATGCGACCCTCACCCGGCTTCACGCCCTCTCCCCACTTAGGTCCCTGCCGGCCGGACCCTAACTCGCTGTCTCCGGAATTGCTCAGCGCCCCCATCCCTGGGGCTCCCCGTGGCGTGCATATGTGCGTGTGCGTGCGAGCGTGCTCACCTTCCTCCACGTAGTCGATGGTGGAGAGATGCTGGAGGCGGCTGCACACCACGCTGCCCTGCCTCCGCAGCGGTGGGCGCTGAGCAGGGGGCGGTGGGGAGCCAGCGGCGGCGGTGGGGCCGGACACGTTCTCCTGGGGGGCGGCGGGCTCTGACGTCTGGTTCAGCTCAATGCAGTACTCGATGAGGCTGCTCATCAGCTCGGCCTGGGGAGGAGAGAGGGGCCACGCTGAGGCCTCCCAGAGGCCGAGCCTTTCCATACTCTGTGGAGTGAGCTGGATGAGCTGGATGGGCCCCTGCCTTCTGCTGGGGCAGGCAGATGACAAACACCATTTACACAAGAAAAGGAAGGGGGCGGGAATCAGGTGCTCTGTGGGCCGGGGGACAGGGGAGGCATCCATCTGGGGTGACTTCGGAGGTCAGTCCTGATGGACAAGTAGGGGTCCCCGTCTCAGGTCTGGGAGGTGGGGTGGGTAAGAAAGCGTTCTCGGCAGAAGGCCCAGGCCCGGAAGGCTGAGTGCTGTGGGCTGCAGCAGTCAGG